ATGGAGCTGAGGTCCATCAGTGGCTATGAGCCACAAGGTACAGATAGGAACTCTCCGTCTGGGGCAAGGGATGCTCTGTCTTCTTGGTGCTTGGGGGGGTCAACAGTGGGAGGGCTTCTAGTGTCCTGGCCCCACTGCTGGACCTCCTGATGGCCCCTGGCGTTTTTGGCCACTGTGTGTCAGAGTGTTGGACCGGATGGGCCTTTGGCCTGATCCAAGATTGGCTTCTCTTATGTTCTTATAGATAAGTATATGGAGCAGAGGTCCATCAGTGGCTCTTAGCCACAAGGTATAGACAGGAACTCTCGGTCTGGGGCAAGGGATGCTCTGTATTCTTGGTGCTTGGGGGGGGGCAACAGTGGGAGGGCTTCTACTGTCCTGGCCCCACTGCTGGACCTCCTGGTGGCCCCTGGTATTTTTGGCCACTGTGTGACAACAGAGTGTTGGACTGGAGGGGCCTTTGGCTTGATCCAACATTGGCGTCTCTTATGTTCTTATGTTCACACTCTGAATGTCTCAGTATTTTTGCCAGTTTTCCAACGGTGTCCTGTGTTGCAATTCAGGCATTGCAATTGCCTGCACACCTGGGAACAGCCTGGCCAGTCTGCCTCCCCCCCCCCCGATCTCGGGAGCAGCTTTGCCAACCTCCAGGTGCGGCCCGGAGATCTCCCAGAATTACAGCTGGTGGCCAGAAGACAGTTTCCCTGGAGAAGACAGTGGCATTGATGGGTGGATTTGTATGACATCGCACCCCCCCTCTGGGGTCCCTATCCTCCCCAACCCCACCCTCTACAGGGTGCACCTCCAAATCTCCAGGAATCATCCAACCCAGAATTGGCAGCCCCGAATGCCCACCTTGTGTGGGGACCTCCATTCAGGGCAGTCTCCCGTATAGAGGTAACATAGCAACACAGAGCTGGAAGGGGATCTAAAGGGCCATCTAGTCCAGCCCCCCGCACAATGCAGGAAATCCACAACCACCTTCTCACTCTTGGCTCGGCTCCGGCTCCTTCAGCTCACGCAGGAACACACGGATCAGACCCACATTGTCCATGCAACATGGTTGCTCCATGTATCTCGGGGCTTCCTCTAGCTAACACATCCCTACCTTTCCTGAAGGGGTGAGCCAGGGCTCCACTCTCGCGGCCCTTTCTTATAGGCCCAGTGATGCCTAGCGCCACTTTGGGGTCAAGAAGGAATTTAATTAACCGGTTTTTAATCCACAAGAGGACTGGTCCTCTTATCCCGTAACTACTGAGCTTCCTTAGGAGCCTTTGATGAGGAACTTTATCCAAAGCTTTCTGGAAGTCAAGGTGAACAACATCTATTGGGTCCAAGTGGTCCCTCTAAGCTGTGGAGTCTTGTGAGCAAAAATTCTGCTCTGTGAGCTACTGGCATTAAAATTGTGAGCGAGTGATTTGGCTACTGCATAAGTTAGTTTGCTCTGGAGCCCTCCTTCCTGAGCGAAGATAAAAATGTGTGAGCCCGAGGCTAAGAAACTCTGAGCTAGCTCACACTAACTCAGCTTAGAGGGAACACTGATTGGGTCCACCTTGTCCACATGTTTGTTCACCCCCTCAAAGAACTCTAACAGGTTATTGAGACAAGACCTTCCCTTACAGAATCCACGAGGATCCTTCCTCAATAGTTTTTGTTAATCAATATGCCTACTAATTCTATCTTTAATAACAGATTCCACCAATTTACCCGGTATCGACGTCAGACTGACTGGCCTGTAATTTCCCAGATCTCCTCTGGAACCCTTTTTAAAAAGATGAGGTTACATTAGCTACCTTCCAGTCCTTGCCCAGAGGAAGTAAAAGAGCTCCAGAATCCCTGGGCCAACCTGGTCTGGAAGAAAATTCCTTCCTGACCAGTCTTCCCTCTAAGCGGAGTTAGTGTGAGCCAGCTGACAGTTTTTCAGCCTCCGGCTCACACATTTCTGTCTTAGCTCAGGAAGGAGGGCTCCAGAGCAAACTGATTTACGCAGGAGCCCAATCGCTCGCTCACAACTTTAATGCCGGTAGCTCACAAAGTAGAATTTTTGCTCACAAGACTCCACAGCTTAGAGGGAGCATTGCTCCTGACCCCAAAGTGGCAGCAGGCATTACGCCGGGCATATAAGGAAGGGCCACGAGATCCAAGCACTGGCTCATCCCTCCAGGAAAGGTAGATAAGTGTTTGCTAGGGGACATAGCCCTGACATAGATGGAGCAAACATGTTGCATGGAAAACGTGGCTCTGATCTCTGTGTTCCTGTGTGAGCTTTAGGAGTTGGAGCTGAGTCAGGAGCTTGAACAGAGTTTCCCTCCCTGCTCTGGTTTTCCTTCCGCTTCCGATCCAGTTTTGCTTATTTGCAGACCAAGATCCATCTCTCTCTCTCTCTGTCTCTGTCTCGCTGTCTCTGTCTCTCTCTCTGTATCTCTGTCTCTCTCTCTGTATCTCTGTATCTCTGTCTCTGTCTGTCTCTCTCTGTCTCCCTCTCTCTCTGTCTGTCTCTCTCTGTCTCGCTGTCTCTGTCTCTCTCTCTCTGTATCTCTGTCTCTCTCTCTGTATCTCTGTATCTCTGTCTCTGTCTGTCTCTCTCTGTCTCGCTGTCTCTGTCTCTCTCTGTCTCGCTGTCTCTGTCTCTCTCTCTCTGTCTCCTTGTCTCTCTGTCTCTCTCCTTTGGGGCGCAGTCTTCAAGGGGGGCTTCCGGAGTGCAGGCCGCCCCTCTCCCCGATGCCGGCTTCCCCAAAGAGGCCCAGCTGCAGACAGCCACGATTTCCCTGTGGACGGTGGTGGGGGCTGTCCAGGCCATGGAGAGGACGGTGGAGGCGCACGCCCTGCGGCTGATGAGCCTGGAGCAGAGGTCGGGGACGGCCGAGAAGAGGTTTGCGGCCTGCGAGAAGGCCCTGGCGGAGCTGGGGAGTCGGCTGGAGAGTCGGTGGGCGGTGCTGGGGACCCTCCTGCAAGAATACGGGCAGCTCCAGAGGAGGCTGGAGAACATGGAGAACCTGCTGAAGAACTGGAACTTCTGGGTCCTGAGGGTGCCTGTCAGCTCCTCCGGGGAGGCGTCCAAGGTACGTGGGGGGGGGGGCCCTGCTGGAATCGGGACGGAATGAGGGGGGGCCTCCTTTGGCCACTGACTCCGCAAAAAGGGCGGGCGTCTCTTAATCCCGTGTCATCTGTTGGCCAGTCTAGAAGAAGAAAGTGCCAACGCGCTTCTCATTCATCAGAGCTTTCCAGCCTGGCTACCTGGGGTGATTCTTAGGGTGAAACAAGCGACCACCAGTGTTCCCTCTACGCTGAGTGAGTGTGAGCTCGCTCACAGTTGTTTAGCCTCCGTCTCACAGATTTTTGTCTCCCCTCAGGAAGGAGGGCTCCAGAGCACAGACTAATTTATGCAGCGGCCAAATCGGTCGCTCACAACTTTAATGCCCAGTTTCTCACGCGAAGTAGAATTTTTGCTCACAAGATTCCACAGCTTGGAGGGAGCATGGGTGACCACGCTACTTCCTCGCTCCAGCAAGCAAAAGAACAATTTGTTATTTATTTATTTATATTCAATAGATTCATGCGGTGTATAACAATCTTGGTATATACCAATCATGGTATACTGAGAGACAGTTCGACGCGGTGGTTAGGTTTCTACCCTGTAGACTGCTAGGCAAGGACCCGAAGACAACTTGAAGCAGGCCTTGGGGCTGAGCGTGCCTATGGAGAGCCAGTTTGGTGTCGTGGTTAGGAGCGCGGACTCTAATCTGGGAGAACCGGGTT